GTATCACTGTCCCAGAAATCCAGCTTTCACTGATTATACATACTCTGGTCTGGTTTTGTCACACCTAGCCTTGTGAAGTGATTCCCAAAGGAGTGGTTATTGGAGATTGAAGGGTGGACGTCGGGACGATATCTTCTCAGAGTGCAAGGTGGCTTGGCCTTGACCTACCTGGCAATTGGAGATGCCTTTATGCTGACTCCCGACACGAATAGCCAATGGTTATGGGCTGACTTGTTGGATATGTCTTAGTGGTTTGTTGGCGGGTGGGCTTAGTCAATCTACTCTGTTTTTTTGGCTTTCGAGCTGCTAGTTGCAAAGGTGTGAAATGCCAGTTTCTTTTGAAAAGGGGTTTATCCCTCAGATGATTGCATCCAACGAGACTTGAACTCTTGATCTGTTTATCAACAATTACATGTGTGTGCGATTACGCCACCAGGCAGGGACAAGCATGCGAGAATTGCGGAGGAGATTTTGACAATGGAATGATGTTCGACCTGTCTTGTTTGTCTGTCTGAATCTGGATCTGGATCTGGATCTGGATCTGGGATATGGATTGGGATGTCTGAATACTGGCAGGTGGTGGGAGAATCTGGTTTATTTACTCCGGACGACATTCATTTCGTTCAAGATGCTGGTGTGGGTGCGGTAAAGTCACAGCCCCATCATCCTGGGGGGGGGGGGGGGGGGGGGGGGGGGGGGGGGGGGGCAGAGGGGGTGGGGGGAGAAACCCTTTTCACTATGGTTTGTCATGTGCATGACTGGGATCTGTACATCGAACAGGCTGTTTGGATGCCTGAATGTCCGGCATCCAGACACCAGAGATCCACAGACACAGAAGAGAGACTTTGAAATATAATAAATTAATAAAATTATGCATAAATGGTTTATTTTAGTTTATAGTATCAGATATTTGTCTTCTGAAGTTTTGAGTTTTTTCCTAGTTCTTGAGGAAGAACCTTACATACATATGCTGAAAAAACTTCAAAAAAGTGATTCGGAACCAAAATACAGACCATGTTGAGCCTCCTCATTGCTTGCTCTCTCTCTCCCCTTTCCATCTCTCTGTCTAGTCTGTGTGTATGCTCTGCANAGAGCTCATACAATTGAAGTTCAGTGAGGTTGACACAGTTAAGCAAGAAATCTGAAATATCATCAAATATGCTATTTTTGTCGCTGGTCTGTGGAGACATGGTTACATCTAATCTACATATACAAATCGCTAGGTCGGCTGTTGTGCACTGGAATGCTTAGGCAATCAACGACTCTTTGAAGAAAGTTTGGGACATCGGGAGTGGAAATGCTTCACTGGTGATTTTTTCAGAATGTGACAAAGCATATGACCCCTGCACATGCAAACTGGAATAGTGTAGGGAAGAACGTAAATGATGAAGACGTCCATTGAAGTTAGGGCTCATTGATTACACCACCATTACCTTTCCCATGCAAATTCTAAAATCAATAATGTAATGTTCTAGCCTTTTAGGGTCTTTGGAGGCTGGGCGCTACCGGACCAAAATAGCTGGCGGCGCCAGCCAAAAGACAAAAAAAAAAGCCACGCTGGTGCTTCAGCAAAGCTTGGCATGCAGGGGGAGTCTGTCTCGGCAAAAAGAGGATGTGCTCTGATGTACTGGCGGTTTACAAGTGGGATGATAAAAACATATATTACCATGGTCCCTATGTCAGGACGGCACGCACAATTGGGAAATAGTCCAAATTAGGAAAAAAGTTCAAAAAACTAGGTTAGGAAAAAAAAAAAAAACTAGGCTGTAACTGCTGTTTCTTCGTGCACTCGGCACCCAACGTGTGCCCGGAAGAAACATGCCCGGTTGCCCGACAGGGCATGAGCCCCACGCAGAGTTCCGGGCTGCCCCGGTGCAAAAACAAAACAAAACAATAAAAAACAATAAAAAACAAAAACAAAAAAAATTCTGGAAAATAAATGTTGTATAGAACTGCAATGCAAATAAGGTTTTTTTTTTTTTTTTTTTTTTTTTTTTTTAAGAAAGGAGTAATCTTTTGTAACAAGCCGGGAACCGGGTGCGGCGTCCCTCACAAAAGTCTGAGCAAGGCTCTCCGGCTAAGCAAAGCCCAGGCCACGACTGCAGCCGAAATTCTACCCCTTCTTCTCATCTCTAGGCAAACAATCTGCCCGGGTACCCCGGGTGTCAGCCCTACCGGGCGACTTGCCCAGATGCTGGGCCCGTGCTGTTCGGCCGGGCGGTCAAAGTAGCCTAGGGAAAAAAAAGAGCGAAATGAAATCAATATAAAGAAGAAAGAACAACAGACACATTACTGCTTTGAATTGGTGTGATGTACAGTCTTTTCATAGTAGTTTTGTGTGCTTTAATAACCCCGATGTCACGATGTTGCGCTGCATTGTCATGGCATTGCAGGTATTGGTTGGAGAATCCCTGGTGAAGCAGAGCGATCCTGCCGCAGCAATCACTGGCCTCTACGGAAGGGATATTTCAAGGGTTGTTTCGCGATGAGATAGATGGGTTCCGTATGACAGCATGTGAGGTGGAGAATGTGGCAAGCTCGCTCCTGTGAGTTGCACAGCTCGTTCCTGAAAGCAGCAGCTTTCCACCTATCTGTAGCTTAAACAGGGGAGGAGGAAGGAGGGAGGAGGAGGGAGGGGGGGGGGGGGGGGGGGGGCAGGGGCACGACTTTGCAAGTCTGGACACACAGAGGAGGGCCTGTTGGTCGGTAAATGTGTGCAGGAAGTTAGCGGCGGCGGCCGAGAACAGACGATCTTCTTTCTGTTCCAAAATATTCTGCGGCGCTTGCCGCGCATTTGAAATCCAGCCACATACATTGCTTGCTCTTGTGGCAGAATAGCTGGGAGATGAGGGACGGCGCGGTCACCATGGAAGGGCTACGATCAGAAGAGAAGGTGGGGAGGTAGGGATCCATAGCAGGAGGTACAGAAGGTTGGGAGGTAGGGATCTAGACCAGGGAGGTAGGGGGAGGGAGCATGAGCATGTGTGCGTTTTGCATGCACACAGCGCACATGTGCAAAAAAGCTACTATCCTCACCCGAATGGAATGCACGGTCGGTTTTGCGGTATTTGGGCAAACTTTCAGTCTGTGTGTGCTTTTTTTTTTTACACACAGCTCACATGTGCAAAGCTACGATCGTCACCCGAACAGAATGTGCGGCCAGTTCAGCGGTATTTGGGCATCACTTTCAGTCCAGGTAATGGTATGACGGTGGGTTATAATAGTCCGGTGAGAAGACAGCTGGTTGTTTGTAACTTCTTTTGTGTCATTTTGTCCATAAATGATGATGATGATGATGCAAAGGACTTGAGCCCATCAGCATCTACTGGACTGAATCATATGGGTGAACCACTGACAGCGTCGCTTGCCCCTCCCCCCCCCCACCCCCCTCTTCCTTTGGGATTTATCCCTGTCGCAACGGGATTACGCGTTTTGTGTCCACCATTGGTGTTTGTATGTACAGTACTGCAGTGTCAATCGTTTTGAAATTTGAATCCAGGAACAAGTGCTTGTCATTGAAATGTCCGTGTGGACATAATCGCTATTAATCGTTGCTTTTACGAACATCCTGGAATCTGGAAATCCATTTCACACTTGGCTCCGTTGTTGTCCAGATCTCTCTCCTGCACGGAGACGCTGTTCATCGCGCCTGACCAGAGCATGCCAGAAGGAGGAGTTCCCATTTGCGCTGTGCGACTGCAGTCTATTGAATCTTGCAGGTGAGGGGAAAGGATGCATTAGTCACAGACAGACAAACTCACATGGCATAGCACTTTACAAAAACACGTGACAATTGAATCGTAGTGATCAATCACACTGGACAAAAGAGCACGCAACGAGCAAATGTCACACGTTTTTCCGAAACTGCAATCTATTGGATCTTTCAGGTGAGGGGAAGAAGGAAGCATGAGCCACGCAGGCAAAAAACTTACATGGCATAACTCCATCATAAATGCCACGGGAAAAAAAATGTGAAGAAATGCCACAATAAAGAATAGAGTGAAACTTTCACTTGGTTGCACACGTGTTTAGCTCACGCCGTTTAAGTCGATTTAACTTCTATTTTTAAAATAATAAAATACAAGTGGGACCCGCCGCAGCCAAACTGCGGCGAAGGGCAATGAGAAAAACGTTTTGCGAAACACGCCAGCCATCAGTTGGACCGCATCTTTCTCAAGTTCTGGTAGGCACAATTGCAAAAGGCCAAGGCCGCCAAGCGAATTTGCACACCCACCTGACAGGGGCATAACACAAACATGTCAGGCCAAAAGACCATTCCACTGTGCCCATATCTTTTAGGGACATTTTGACACATATCTCAAATTATGGGGGTATTTGGAAAATCACCTCCCCCATCCCCTCCAAAAAAAGAGACTCTCTCTCTCTCTCTCTATATATATATATATATATTTGTGACGATATATATATATATACTCTTCTCCCTCTCTGCCTACGGTTTACCGGGCAGTTCTATTTGACGATATATATATATATCTTCTTTTTGGCACACACCCTCCCCCTTGTCCGACCTTGCAACCCCCTCGTCCTCCCGGGCGGCCCCCTCCTGTTGGCACAAACTCCTCCCCCTAGCACGACCTCCTCCCACCGACCTTCTCTCCCTCCCGCACGACCTCCTACAACCTCTCGTCCCCCTCTCCCTTGCGCGACCTCCTCCTG